TGTTTGCTAAAACAATGTTTGATTTAGGTAATAAAACATTTTTATTTATCTGCGTATAAGAAACAAAATTCAACATCGTAATTAAAGACTAAACGTTTTTTAAAGGATCTTTTTATTGATATATACTCGGCAATCGAACGAGTTCATCAGGTTTTTTATTTTTTATCATTTATGAATACAAATACAAAAGTTTATTTTTGAAAAGTATAATATAGTAAAAAGCAAAGAAAATCATTCTGAGGGTGTGGTAGGTGAAGATAGTTTTGTAAAACTTATTTCTTAGAACTTTTAATATTATAATTGATATAAATTTGTAAATAAGAAAGAAAAATCGATTGCCTCAATGAAAATATCTTTCAGTAAAACAAAATCAAACATAAAAGATAATATTTTATCTACTACTTCAATGCTCATCCTTACACAATTGACTGAAAAAGTCATTGACTAATTCATTATTCATGCAACGAATTATCCCGCAACTAATTGTATATGTGACGAATCATCTCGCAACTAATTGTCCATGTGACGAACAATCATGACTAATCTCATGATGATACTACACTGTTAATATATGTCGGTGATGTGCAAAGCAAAGCTGTGCAGTTTATCTGGTCAATTACAAATTATTATTGAGCGGTTGGTTCGTATTTCAAGACTAGTTGATCATATTTCTATTTGTTCGAAAAAAAGCGAAATAAACTATATGATGTTGTTTTCTTTTATAATTTTGTTCTTAGCATAGATTACCTAGTTTTTAGTCTAACTAATAAGACATTAATAATGAGAGTCAAATGATTATAACAAGTATTAATTTATTTATATTTTTAGATTATTACAAACAACAGTGATGGAATTCCAATACTATAGATCGATAATGTTTGGAAGCTATAGTGCACTACTTCTGTCTGAAATTTGCCTATTTGCATCACTATCACATCGATTACTAGTAGAATTAGTTGAAAAACTATTCGGAATCACTCGAATAAATCATCAAAGATTTCTTATGAATTTTTTCGGTGTTAAAATTGATTTCTTATTATCACGACGTTTTCGTCTCTCTCTCATCGTTCAATTGGCATTTATCCCATGGATCACTCTACTTTTACTTATAGATGGATGCGTCTTGCAAGCACACCATAAGTCAAGTCAAGATGCTTGTCCATTATCAGCCAGTGCCTGTTTTCTAGTGAGAGAATCAGGAATATATGAAAGAATTGTTTGTGTACCTGGTGAAATATTATCGAACTCTACGACAATTGATGTCATGTGCTTCGTATTGGTATATGCCGAACAAAATACTGTTGCCGTACTAAATCAGATTGGTATCTGTTCTAGCGTTTTCTCGCTTCTATGTTATGCATTCAAATATACTTGTCGTATGTCACGCAAATGGTGGGGTCTTATTCTACTTATTTTGTTACTTATTACGTCCATAATACTTTTGATTGCCTCCTTTATAATTATTGAAATGAAGGTTTCTGTCACTGCCAAATTATTGTTAATAGCGTCAAGCTGTCTTTTAATCAATGTGATCCAGTTACTTCAATTTACACATTATAATCAATGTTGTCGTATTCAATCATTGACTCGAATAACAAAGACACGTGTTTAAAAATTTTATCTAAACACTTTGCTTAGTTATACAAAAGTGATTACGAAAAATTATGCTGTTTTTTTTTGTAAAACTATAAGACATTACAATAAAGATCATTATAGATCGTTCATAAAAATTGTTCAAAAAGTTCTACTATAATAATTTGCACATGTCTGAGATGCTATGGGTGAGTCAGTATGAATATTACATGCAAACCAATTAACATTCACACTCACTTCAATACGATAGAGATCAAAAGATATCGTTTGAAGGATATACGTGCGCATGTTCATATTATATTTATTTACGAATAATACAGCATGAAGATGAACATACTTAGCAGACAGTGGCTTGTTATCAACACTATTGATAATAAAATGAAACAATAAAAAAACAAATGTGTTGTTTCATGGTTGCTTATTTCACATATATATTCCAGTTTTTGAAGCTATTACATATTTGATAGGTAGGTGTGAACGAGGATACTCATTTCATTCATTCTCCTCATTTTCATATCCATATCCTCAAGATGGTTCCCGATCGATCCCAAAGATTGGCTACTGAATAAGGGTCACCTCGATTCATCTGATATTCGTTTCATAAAACAAAAATATATTCGATTTGCTAACAGTCATCAATAGCTAATCACGTTGGATTTGATGCAAATCAACGACCATCCATTTTGAGCATCGAAACAAGAACTTTCTACCCCACATTGAACAATTTCTACATTAGATAATGCAAACCGAGTTATCATTTTCGTATCTTTTTCTGTAGATCGGTCTTTCGACATAGGAAAACAGTTCTTTCTTAAAAGGTTCTTGTAAATACGATAAATTGTATTTCCAATATTTCTTTACAATGTCTCATTTAATAAGTACTGTTCAGAGTTTTTATCACTTACTGAAAAGGACCCCCAAGAGATCACGAAGAATGTATGCTAAGCATGATTATATACCCTTTACTAGGTCTCAAAGTGGAAGATCAACTCACATTTAGATCTACAGATCCAATATTGCCGATGATTTATTCTCTCGATTTAAATTCATGCAATTTCGATCTGTTGGATGTGAAGGCACTCATCATATGACTTTTATTGACATCCAGTACTAAAGTGTTGAATATATGCTAAGGAACCACTAGTGCTAAAATACAATTAGCCATTAGATTGAAAGCATTGCTTGAAGAAGACAAATATCTCAAATCCATTACAAATTTCATTGAAGAAGTTTATGTGTTTTATATGTTTGACTCTCTTAATTACACTAGATCTTTCGCATCTTGAGGATGAGTGTGGATATGAACAAGATAGGAATATAATATCCACACCAAAATTGACAAAAGTATATCATTCAAATTTCTAATCACATTCCTCTTCTCTTCTTCTATGTAACATACGTTATTGTAAACCTGAGTGCGAATCGAAAGACGTTTCTTTTTTCGATCACTATCTATCTATAAGGAAACCACACGCTTCGGAATAAACATAGAGAAAAGCAACGGTATAGATCATTACGTTATTAAAATTATCTATGGTGTTTGATTTCGTCCATGTTTAATGAAAAATAATTATTTTCAGTTTTGTAGGACAAGAAAAAGATAGTTCATTTTATGTACTTGGCTTTTGTTAATTGCATGTTTTTCATATCTGTACCAGTTTAATCAACTTGCCACTATATATAGGAAAGAAAATAGCATACCTTACAGATTATATTATTTCTAAAGAATAGTGGCTTACTCGTAATGCTCCACCTGTTCTACCACTATTAATACGTGCCATTTGACCCATTCTACTTTGTTGACGTCGTATCCTTTCTTCATGAGCGTCGCCTAGAAAAAAACAAGATACCTGAAAAAAGTAAATGGACAGGATAATCAGTAACTTACGAATCACTGCTTGTTTAAGTTTCAATTCCTCTGCAATTTTCTGGTTGATACCAGCATTTGGATCAGTATTATTTACCTGTAGTTAAGAAAACTAGCAAAAATAATATTTAAAATAAACAATATAGCGTTGACTCGCTTGACGATTAATTTTCGGTTGTATCATTGCTGATCTGAAAATGAATTTTTATATAATAATTTAACAAGATATGATAACAATCATATTCACCCAATAGGATTTGCTTGTGACTCCTCTTTTGCCAGAAATCCTGTTGAACGATTATTGCGGGATTTACTATGATTCTCATATCTCTGATAATCTAAAATGATTGTAGAGAAGCTAGTTGTTTAATATTATTCTTTATATATACCATCAAAATCGAATGACATAATCAATTCCTCTTCATTATGCATTGTGTTGATTGGCACATGATATTCATGACTAGGTTTAGATGCCATACTCTGACTCTTGTATAATGCAGTTCCATAGTTATTTTTATTGACTTGAACAGGTTCTTATCAAACAGAATGAGATTAATAAGAAAAAAGAAAGTGATTATCAGAGCTACGCTACTTTCATCATTTGAGCCAAATGGATCATATTGTTCTTGATGTAGAACAGTTCTTTCAGTGCGTCTTGTATGTCCGACATATAGTTTAATTGTTTGGCTTTCTGTACAGGCTAATTGTATATATTTTTTGGCATATTCTAATGTAACAAATCGTAAATCGTACGTATTCGACTAAAATTCATTGTTTATGCAAAAAAAACAACCATATCTGATAATTTTACCGTGGAGGAGATTTGTAATAATCGATCACCGATGTCTAGCTGTTTATTAGTTTGATATTTACTTATGTCTGTTATAAATATGCCATGATCGCTGTAGAAGTAAAAAACACGTTAGCTAAAGAAAAATGGAAATAATCATACTGATAATTACTTTATAAAATATTCATTTCCAATTCCACCATTAATATAAATATTTAATTTCCCATTATGCGTCAATTCAATCTCTTCACTATAAGACGGAGCGAGACGTCGGATCAACTGAGTATATAATAAACAAATAAAGATTCTGACATATACATCTTACGCTGCTTACCAATTGGATTTTATGTCCTGATGTTCTCAAAATATCAACAGCTTTTTGATGTTTTATATTAGTAAAATCGAAATTATTCACACGTAATATTATATCATATAATCTAAAATAATGAAGAAAAAGATCATTATTGACGAAAAACATTTTTACTTACTTTAATTGTTTATTTCTATATGCAAGACTATTTTCAGTAATATTCGTAATAATAATAGATGTAAAACGATGATTCATAAAAGGTAAATCAATCCCTCCTGCAATAGTGAACCCTAATGATTCATGGGCGCTGTTTGTCTATCGAAAAAAAACACAAAGAAAATAAGTTTATAATTAATATTTAAAATTAATGATACAAACTCTCTGAAGAGTAATTTCTTTTTCTTTCCAATGATCTTTATAATCGAATTGTATTATATCAGACATGATATTCGATCAATGCGTTTTTTTCTGGCACTTATCTTACGCAAATATATAATACGTGTAGTGAAAGTGAAGCCAAACTTACTGGTTTTCTTTCGAGTAAGAAAAATATTTAATCAGCATCAATATATGAAGAAAGGAACGAAAAAAATCTTGTATTTACTGGGATTGAAAAATGTGTTTTGATACTAGACGGTTCTCTGTCATTTGAATAGAAGAAAGGAAGGTGTCCTTTGGTTTATTCTTCGAAAAAGCCATCATTCCTCGAAATATATTACAAAACTAGTTTACTCTTAGTATTCTGTTTATGAATAATCGCTTGTTTTTAGTTAAAAAATGCTCTGTGATTAATTAGAAATCTATGAAGAGGCATTAAAATTTATATTTATATCTCATAATTAACTTATGATTACGATGAATAGACTAATATCTTGATTAATGCTTATGAAAAAGCTTCTTCCTCCTCATTTAAGCTTTTCGAAAACAAATTCCTTCAAGAGCATCTTTTACTGTTATTATCACTCCTTCCAAGATATTATTCTAGATTCTACAAAACCCACATCAGTATGAGTGTTGTGTTCATCTCTCACACGCGTGTATATCTACATTTATACCCTCAAGCTGAGTTAATGAACATATCGTATTATAAATAGGTATATTTGCGCGATTTTTTTCTAAATATTCTTTTATTAAATAATTATGTAGAAAGACGTAAATTAGTAACACAAAAAAGGTTTTGACGAATAAAAAGTTTTAAAGAAGTATAATCTTATGCGAAAACATCAACATTATATCGATCACAAGAGATTTTCTCGAGAATTTTTGTTGCTTCTTCTTCATTACATTGTTTTATTTCTGCAATAATCTTTATGAAACATGTTTTGACTGATGCACCAACTTTTCGACCACTTCCACACGTATAAAAGCGTGCACCCTTACAATATAAACTAGCAATTTCATTCCGATCTTCCCAAAGTAAATCTTGAACATATTTTTTACCATTATTTGATTGACGAGAGAACACAGATTTGACTTGAACTGCCCCAAGGCTAGACCATTTTTCGAATTCATTTGAATACAAAAAATCTTCTTGTGATCGACATCCATAATAAAGAATTGTAGATCCAATATTTCGACCACATACCAATTGTGCTGCTCGTTCTTGAATAAAACCACGAAATGGTGCAATTCCAGTTCCAGCAGCAATCATAACAATTGGTATTGTTGTATCTTCAGGTGGATGAAATCTTGTATTACTTGCTCGAACACTACAGCTAATTTGATTACCTTCTCGTAAATTTGCAAGATAATTTGATGCTACACCAAAGTATTGTCCAGATCCACTTAATGCGGGAACATTTAATACATCAAATGTAAGTGTGACGACTTCCGAATTCCATAAAGGCGAAGAAGAAATACTATATTGACGAACACGAAGTGATGGAAGCATTCGAAGATATTGTGCAAATGAAAGGTCACACGAAGAATAAAGTTCAAGAGTATCTAATATACTAATACGTTTATTGAGAATTTCGGTTTCATATGTATCTCCATTAAGATTCTTGAGTTGTACTGCTTCTTTTTCGTCTTTACATAATGCAGCAAGAGTTTCAATTTGTTTTTTACTAATCGGTTGAGCTAATTCAACGTAACCACTTAGAATATCAAATGCACTAACTGGATGATTAGTCGGAAAGAAAGTATTTGTAGAACAATGAATTTTGACTTGAGTATCTGTAGATAGATTGAATCGTTTGAGAACTCGATAAACAATTTCAACTGGATTCGATGGTAATATCGCGAGATAATCACCTGTTCGATAAGTTTGTCCTTTTGGAAGTTTAATCTCAAGATGTTTTATTGTTGGTACAATTTCAGTTGCTTTCACCAAAACTTTACTTTGAAGAAGAATACCAGAATCAGTTATTTGTTCAAAATTTCTTTTTAAATTAACAATTTCAATAGAAAGTTTCTCTTCACTAATTATATTATGTTCACCATTATCTTTTCGTAAAGTTTGAAAAAGATTTTCTTTCCAAGCTTCAAATGCACCATAAAAATCACCGCCAGAATCACCAACACCACGTTCAATAATTCTCGTACCTCCAGCATTTTCTATCATTTGATCAATATAAATTGGAATTTTTTGATATGTATTTACCCAATCATGATGACCAGCTCCAAATACAGCATAATTTATTTCTAGTTTAGGTTTTGATTCGAGATATGCCATGAATTGTTTAGCATTTTCACATGGATTACCTTCATATGAAGCTGTAATGATGATTGTTGGTTGATCATTCGGAAGAGAATTAACAGCAGAATCAAGCGTAGCCACCGTGGCATTATAACCATAGAGTGGTGCTTCAGATGCTAATGTTGCTGCAAAAGATTCACACGAACCAGAATTACTACCAAAGAAAATAGCCATTGGTCGAAGATGTTTTGTATCATCTTTTTGTTTGGATGTTTTTTCAGTTGCCTTGTTAACTGGCGTTATATTTGTATCAAGTAAAATTCCAACACGTTGACGTGATCGAACTCGTATTTTGAAACCTTCAGGTTTGATTGTTAATGTTTGTTTAATACGAAGATCATAAGATGGATCAACAAATTCAATATTGAAATGCTTAATAACAAGTGCCAAAGCAAGAAGACTTTCTTGCCATGCAAATGGTCGGCCAATACAAGAACGTTGACCATTGCCAAAAGGTTTCCATGAATTTAATGGAAGATTTTCAAATCCACCATTTAACATTCGTTCTGGAACAAATTCTTCTGGTCGATCCCATATTTTTGGATCACGATGTAATTTATGTAAAACAACTATAATACTCTCATCTTTATGAACTTCGTAACCACCTGGTAGAATGACACTATCTTCCTTTGATGTTAAAATAAATCCTGGTGCTGTAGGTTGTAAACGAAGTGTTTCTTTTAATACTGCATCAATATATTTTAATTTACTTAATGTATCAACTGTAATTTCACCATATTGATCGACTTCTACTTGTACTTTCTGTAAAGTATGCGGATTTTTAAGAAGATAATATAAAGCAAATGAGAGCAGTCCTGATGTTGTTTCATGACCAGCTACTAAAAACGTAAGCATCTGATAGCGAATATTTTCATCAGATAATTGATAACCAGTTTCTGGATCTTTACCATTGATCATTCGATTAAGTAAATCTTTCACATCATTTGGATTTTTTCGTCTTTCTCGAACAATTTCATCACATACATTATGAAGATATGCAATTTCATTATTATACCAACGTGTAGTTGTCATCATAAGTGTATTTTGTAAAGAAAATCGTTGAGCACGTCGACCACTTTCAACAAGAACATTAATCATTGCATCAACAAAACGATGCATTGTTTTTTGATAAAAACTATTAAATCGGTAATTAAAACTACATAAAGCAATTGTATCCAAAGTCAAACGAGTCAAGTTATCACAAACATCAATTTCTTCTCCAGGAAATCGTTCCCATCGAAGAATAAGTTGTGAACATATATCCATCATAGCTGGAAACATATCTCGAATTGCTTGTGGTCCAAATGCAGGCATTAAAATTTTATGAGCAAGTTTCCAGTTTGGTTCTGAAGTATGTGCCGTAAAAAGTCCATCACCACCTGCGTTTCTCAGTTCTAATAAGCCTGCTGCAATTTTCTTATCAAATTTTGATTCATCACATACGAAATTAATGAATTCGTGATTAGACAATACAACCACATTTGTTTTAAAAATAGTCAGTCGATATATATCACCATATAGCTCCTGGAGTCTCTGAAGTGATTCCGAGAAACGATCTGGATCTAATTCTCGTAGATTGCCAATCAAAAACGTTTCTTGAGGCTGTGGAAGTGCTCTTGTCATATCGATTGTTTGTGTATGACAATTTATAATATTATATCAATTGATTTTTTGACCTACAACAGGAGAAAGGTAATCATTAATATACGTAGAGATGAATATAATGACACTGTATTGTAAAGAGAAGACTGACGAGTATCTAATTACTTTCGTCTTAATATAGTAGGTTAAATTTAGTGAAAACATTATACTTGTATTAGATTGAAAAAAACTTTTTCTATGAGTATCTCAAGTTCTTAATAATAGTGCTAATACAAAAAAACTACTAAAATGTATTACACGTAATTTTCAGTATATTAATGAACTATTAGTATTTCTTTAATATTAATGCTAATCTGATACTCCTAGGCAATATCTCAGAGCTGTAATTATATCATTTTAACTGAAAGTAATATAGTTGAAAATACCGTTATACAGATTATATACACATGAATAGTTTTAAAGGAGTAGAGGGATATATTGTACAGCATCGATAAAGATATATCAGTATACACACATCTATGTCTAATAATTACATGACAATTGGAATTCTAAATAAAATTAAAAAAATATTTGAAATGAAACGTACTTGAATTTCTGTTGACAGATAAAATATTGACACTACACCTTTTTCTTTGCTTCGTCAATCTCACAACTATTACTGCCTTTATATATATCTCGTTTTTTTATCGCGTTGAAATACGTTACATTCAGAAAGTACGTGCAAAAAGTACGTACGGAGAATGCGTTGACTTGCAGTATTTTTACGTTCTACGGAAGATTGTATGAGTCAGGAAGATGAATACGTGTGCGGCTATCATTGGTTTTTTATCTTCATGTAAATCATCAGTAACATTCAGCACCACTATTTTATAATGTTATTCATTGAATCAATGGAACTGTTTTCTAGATTTTTTCATATTCTCCCTCAATAAGACAATTTTTCGAATCCAATATTTAATTGTAATCGAACATTTCGCTTCTGTTTCTGACATGATTGTTTGCTTTCCGTAGTAGGACAAAGTTGTCTTTGATTGAAGTGAAACGATTAGCCTAATTAAATTAAATATGAGTGCAGTGGAGAGTGAAGTTGTATGCTCATTTAAAACGATTTTCATTCTCTTGTTTTTACTCTTTTCTTTGATTATTAATTTTTTTGTTTGATTTATTCTACTTTTCTTTCATTTTCTTGCTTACTATCTTATTTGTCAATAACTTCTTCCATTAATTCGTCCCATATTATAGTGCAAGTTTTGATAGATTTACCAAACTTGGCGAAAGTTAAATAGGATCTTATATTGCGAAAACATGTTATGCTACAAACGCTCAATTTGAAAAACTCTGGAGAGGAACTGGATGTTTCATAGAAAAACTAAAGGTAAAAATTCTTTTTCTGAATAAATATCTCATTACACTTTTAATATTCTAGCAAAAAATCTTCAGTATTCGTAATAATGAAAAAAATATTAAAAAAAATCACATTACACTTCATTTGCCAACCAATATCATCACCAACTGAAAGTTTACTATCATTGTCTGATGAAGAACCTAAATTATTCTTTCTAGTTCAATTTTTTAATTACATCTCAGTATCAAAAATGAAGAAATTATTTAAGACAATTTTATCAAAAGAACCTGATAAACCCCTAATAAATCTAGAACATGTCTGTGACGAATTTCATCCATGGGGTACGAAAGTGTGCAAGAAAATTGAACAATATTTGATGCTATGGAAACAGCTAATTAACATAGGTAAATGTATTGGCCAAATTTTTCACTCTCAGATTAGAAAACTCGTGGTGAACGTTTATATGTCAAGACAGAAATTAGAGATCGTTAGATCCTTTAAGTATCTGGGATATACTTGGACCGATAAACTCTCACTACATTCAACGGTAAACACATGCCTCGAAAAGACCCAGTCATCCTTGAACCAACTGGAATGGTTAAGATCGAGTAGGACTTTAACCAAGGAAGTGCTGAGAAGATGCTTCTTCGCTTTCCTTTCTAAATCGCAACAAGAACGTCTTCGTAGAAAATACCGCGTAGCCATAAACCTGATCCATCGCGTCCCATTTGTAAGTGAAAAGGAGGGTGTGATTGTGGTCGTAGATATGCGTCTAAGAGAAGAAGAGCCTACTATATACTCACACCTACATCTGCACCCTCCGATAACAACCTGTCTCAAATTTATTTACTCCAGCACTATATTATTCTTCGATCAAAATTAATCAAGAAACTTCCCGCATTTTACCCATCGTCATCCAATACTAGTAAGTGAACAGCATAGAATTATAGTTGTACGAGCATTTCCTCCAACAGAGTCTTGTAAAATATATGTTAGTTTCGAATTACGATAAGGTAATCAGATTTTTATATAATAAAAAAAATAAGAGAAAAACAATAATTGTAACAAACAGTTCCATCAGCTAATGCTGAAATAACATTTCCTAATGCAGATAAAGATTTATTTCGCTTCATTGAGTACTTAGCCGTCAGCACTAGTTTTTGAAACCTTTTTTGTTTTTATAAAGAATTAAATCAAATCTATACAAGAATTTTTATCATTTTACAAAATTCCTTCGTCCATTATTTTGAAGATTTTATTAGGTGCTGAAACGAATCGTTCAATAACACCCTTTGCAAAAAAAAAGAAAAGAAGTTTACATTCAAATATACATATTTCATCATACTTTAACATATGGTACACCATTTTTATCTTCATGTACAGCTAAATTTGTTTTTGATACGTCAAGGAGATCATGAACTTTATCAAGATATATTTCGAAATAAGAAAATTTTTTTCCAGAACAATAAAAATCAGCTTTTCTTTTACCTCCATTGTATAAGTTTTTCCACTTGATGTTTGACTATAAGTAAATATAGTTCCATTATAACCATTAAAAACATCTTTAACAATTTCTTTAGCAGTTTCATTATAAACTTTTTCTTGTGTAGCATTAGGACGAAATACTTTATCGAATATAAATTCTTTACCCTAAAAAATACTATGATTTGAGAAAAGATTTCAGTCAATAAATCAATGACATACAGTAATAAGAAAAGTATCGTCATTATCTATAGGAAATTTAACAACACTTTGACTGCCAGCTCGTTCTTCAGATTTGTTTAATGGACGAAAACGAGCAACAACTCGAATATTACATTCTTTGGCTGCCATTAAACGTATTGATCATAGATGATCTTGAAATAAAAATTAAATCTATAAGAAAAGAAAAACGGAACAAATAAAAGCTATAACATCTGACGACTTAAACAGTAATGAAATAATCAACATCAGTAACAATCATTATTACTTCTAAAGTATTTTTTTCTAACTAATCAGCCATCACTAAAGTAGATTAGAACCCACATCGTTCTCAATGGCTTATATAGGTTTGTATTTTTCAAGTGATATTATAATAGATGTCATACATGTTGATAATATTCGAACACTATCTAGTGATTTGGTGCCATATATCTGTGATCTAACTGAATCTAACTTTTTTGTCATTTTTATAGATCGATGGTGATACAACATCAAATCTCGTTATAGTGATAGTTGGATGTGGGTGTGAATATTTTAGGGTGATCGTGTTTTCTTTCATTATCCACACCCTCAAGATGGTTTTTGTAGTCGTATCAGGCAATTTAAGACGCTGTTTCCGATACTCGGAATGGTTAATATGGGATACCATGTAAAAAACAACCAATGAATCCAAAAAGTATTAAATTACATTTTATACAACATCATGAATTCAAGGATATGATGGCATCCAAAATTAGTAAAATGTACAATAACGAACTGTTAAAAATGAAATTAAAATCTTAATTTCTCGTTGTACGTTTTTTTCTTCGTATATTCTCTTTCGTTCTGCTTTATATTTTCCTTTCTTTTCTTCTTCTTCTCCCTCTTCTTTTTGCATATGTATTATCCTCTCTTTCATATATGAGGGATTAATTTTCTTTCTTTCTGTTATTTTAGTTTTCATGTTATTCTATGTGATGTCCATTTTAAGGATTTTTTTTTTATATTTATTTATGGGTTTTCCCCTTTTCTGTCAACCTAAATATATAGTTGTTCATTTTCTGCTGAGTGTGTTTAATAAATAAATTTCAAATGAATTACAAGCTTAACACTTTTATTTAAATAATAATTTGTGTTAATGATATTTTATGGATTACCTTCAAAATCTCGAAAAAAATATCTCGAAATGCAAAATTTCGAAAATGTTAAATGTCGAAAAATAAATCTCGAAAATGTAAAACGTCGAAATTGGAAAAAGCTAGAAAATAATCACCAAGCATAGGGAAGCATTCTGCTATGACATTTTCTTACGCTAACTTCGAAGGATGGGCGTGGATAATTTTATCTTTCTCAACCACATCCACACCCACACCCTATCTTAAAATAACTGGTTGAAAATGAATTATCAAAGTCGCTGAACTAGATATATAATCAAATTCCGTAGCTTTCGACATCATCATCAGATTTTTATCACGATAGAGAAGTAACTTTCTTTTTAGAGTGTGGATGGGAGTGTCTTTGTAGCTGTGTCTTGTAGTCACCCTCAAGATGGTGTAGATGTGAAAGATACTATAGGAAATGCATCACTTTGACTATTATAAATCATAGAACTATAAAAGAATTGATGGCCGATCTCTGACTTCTCAGGCAATTACTACTGCTCTGCTGTTCGTCCATCTTCAGTTCTTGAGCATTGTTAATTTTTCAACATAAACAATAATTCATTAATTCAGCTTTACAATTCTAGTTGTCAAAAATATCTGAAAACTATTCAATATCGCTATTCATAAAAAATCTAGGACAAAAAAAATCATACACAGGATTAAAGTTCTTTAGTAAATAATGCGATGCATGTATGCAGCTTTATCGATTTAATCCTTTGCATCGTTAAATCAATAGACAACGATGTATTTAAAGTAGATTTATGTTGCTTGATTCTTTGATAACACGCCATAGCTGCTTTATCTTCACCATCACAAATCAAGTTCGAGTGCAGCTATTATTCTTTGCATTTGTCTTATCAAATGTCGTATTAAAAATCGCATATCTATGTAGATCAGTGACAAATATTGACATATTGATGAAACGAAATCTACAACGATAATCCATATAAATCGAAGTAAATGCAATCGATTTAATGTAAAGTAAGATATTTTTCCTCCCATATCAGTAGTGAATCAGTAGTATCCTAATTAAATATTGATTCAAGTAATTTTAAGAAAAATTGCATTCTTAAGAAAGAAAGAAAGAGAAAATATTTATTCATTTATATGAGTAGAATTCTTTATTTTTTCTACATATAGATTATTTGTATCGATGATGATGATTAGACTATATTTTTATATTTCATTGCAATTAATACTATGTTCCACGGTCGATATTAAACCTAAGTTAACATTGGATGAATTTTTGGATTATACATATTTTCCGTCAATAAGCTTATCACCGACTAATAAACATTTACTTATTCAAACAAATCGTCCATCATGGAATACTAGTTCTTTCGAAAACGCTTTATGGCTTCATGATATTGAAAATCGAACAAAAACATTGATTACTCATACTCTTAATCCAACAATTAAACCAAAATGGTCACCTAATGGTGATTGGATTACATTATCATTAAGTATACAACAATCGGAACAATATATTTATTTATATTCTATCGTCGCAAGCAAATTATTCCCTATTAATATTGGAAACAATATTCCATTAACTTTAACATGGTCAAACAATAATTCAGTTTTCTATTTAGCAACAATGAACTCATATTTAGTTAATAACGAACCTAATGATCTAGATAACGATGAATGGTATGATGTTATTCAATATCGAAAAAATCAAATGAATGAAAGTACAACAATCTATCAGATTGATTTGATTGATAATAATTCTTCACCATCTGTGAAAATAAATTTTATTAAAAATGTTTCTTTTTTAATTATTGAACTATTATTTGTTCCATTGGAAGAAAAAATAGTATATTCAACCATGTCAACAGATTTTGACAATATGGATGCTTTTGAACTTTATTCAATTGATCTTCGAAATATATCAGCACCCGCTGTCCGATTGACGAACAATCAAATATTTGAACATAATTTACAATTATCGACTGATAGTCAACAAGTATTCTTTCTATCAGGGCCTCTCGGTTCTACAAAAAAGACATCTAATAATACACAATATCGTCTTTATTCTGTAAACTTAGTGAATACACAAATGGAACGCTTAGCAGATAATTTTCGTGGTAGTATTACGGGATACATAATTAAAAGGAATGATAATGTTTATATAATTGGACAAGTAGGAACACAAGCACACATTTATACATATAAATTATCAACAAAACAGTTAATTATACATAATGGATGGAATGGAACATATCAATCATTTGTATCATCATATAATAATCATTCAACTGCATTTGTTTATTCGTCATTTCAAAAGCCTATAGAAGTTTATTTCATTAATAATATTGATCAGCTCCAATCAGCAGAAGCCATAACAAATTTTAATCAATTATTTACTCAACGAGATTTGCCACAAGCTGAAGTTTATACTTGGAAAAATGTAGATGATGATCAACTAATTGAAGGAATATTACATTATCCACCAGGACAATATCAATCAAAAAATTTACCACTTTTCGTTCTCATTCATGGTGGTCCATCTGAGTCAAGTTTGAATTCTTTTTCTGCAAATTCTTTTTATTGGGCAACTATAGCAGCGTCAGAAGGTTGGCTCGTCTTAGAACCAAATTATAGAGGATCACTAGGATATGGCGATCATTTTGTAGCTGAAGTTCGTAACAAACCTTTATCTCGACCTGGAAAAGATATTCTTTCAGGAGTTGATCAATTAATCAAAGATGGAATTGCTGATCGACATAGACTTACCGTTGGTGGTTATAGTTATGGAGGTTTGTTAACAAACTGGTTGATTACACAAACTAAACGTTTCAATGCTGCCGTTGTTGGAGCTGGCATCGTTGAGCATGCTTCTGGTTGGGGTACTCTGGGTACACCAGGCTTTCACAAGTATTTCTTTGGTGGATTTCCATGGGAAACTCCATATATATATCAAAGTGAATCACCTTTTTATCAATTAGATAAAGTACGAACACCTACACATATCGTTGCTGGTGAACGTGATATGCAAGTTCCTACGAGTCAAAGTTATATGTTAGAACGTGCACTTTATTATCGACAGATACCAGCAAAACTCATTATTTTCCCAAATGAAGGACATATAATGGATTTTAATCCTATACATGGAAAAGTCAAAATTCGAGAAGAACTTAAATGGTTGAAAAAGTATGGTAATCAATCATTCAATTACAATGAACTATCTAATAATAATGAAAAACTAACATTAAGTTTTGTATTTGAAATCTATGTTTTATTCTTACTCTATCTAGTTTGAGGGTATGGGTGCATCAATAAACATTTCGTTTTTATTTCATCACAAAACTTTTTAATCAAATAAAAGGCAGAACAGAAAGAAAAAAAAGGCAATTCATTTTTAAACTCAAATATTGTGAAAGAATGACGATATTTTTTTCTTTTTTGTTCTATTTTTTTTAAAGGAACACGTTGATCACAATGCATTAGTTAATTTTTGATCGTGCAGAGAAGGTAAAGATGGAGTAGATTGGAACGATAAATAGCGTGCTCATTTGACTTAATCTGTTTACGCGTCTTTATACCCCTTTATTTATAGAAATCGTCAAACATTCATGAATAAATTAATTTTGCCACCCGACGCTGAGAATAATAATAATTCTACTACGAAAGAAGTCGACAATCGAGAAGAATTTTCTTCTTTATTAAAAAAAATAGAACATTTGAAAATACCCAATAATGATGATTTTCAAGAACATGAGAACACATTACAATTATTATTAAATTATGCTTCTATACACTTTGAATCACCAAAATATTCTCAGTTAATGCAGAGCATGTTACTTATATTAGTTAATTATTCGAATAAAACAGTTCTTGTACCATGTTTAATAAAAACAGATTATCCAAGCGTACTTTTAACATGGTTGAATTTAATTTCAAAGTAAGAGAATTTAAATAACATATTACATAGTATAACTGACAATTTCTATTTTTTTCTGTAGTCGAGAATTATCGAGAGATGCTGATCGCCTTGTCGGTGTGATATATAATATTAGTCGTCATGAGAATGGTATACAAGTTTTAAACTCTCTTGATACCACCAATAAACTTAAAGAATTTCAAAAACATCATCAAAATTCAGATATAAATATCTTATGTATGATGACTATGGCTCTTCTATCAACACCTGAACAAATTAAAAATGATCGTCGACGAATGAATAATATTCTTGATCAATTATTAGAAATTATTGTTAATGCATCAAAACAATCAATTGACTATATATGTAGAGGATGGCATATTTCAGAACCATTGATTGTTTTAGTTCGATTAATTTGTTATGATCGTACACTTGATTACGTTTTACAACATGCACAAGTTGAAATTGATACATCTTCAACAGTAAAATTTTTAATCGACACATTATTAGATTTTTATAAAAATGTTCACGAAGATAATCCATTCAAATTATCAACATGTACAGCACTATGTAATATTCTCTGGAGTGTTTCACTTCGTCCACAGTATAAAGAAGAATTACAAGAGAGTAAAGAACTTAAAATATTACTGGAAAAAATAGCTATTGAAAAAGTTGTCATTAATCCTACTCAATATGTACCGACATATATAGAAAATATACAAAAAGCTACTGATGGTATTCTATGTAATATTAATAATGATAATCAAGGTACTATTTCAAATATTACAGAAAATGAGCGACATAAACCTATAGATGATGCAACAATTCCATCAAAAATGATAGATAACAAACCATTGATTATGATTAGTTATGCTCATGGTGATAATAATGTTTGTTCTCAATTATACGATGAATTAAATAAATATAATCGACAATTTGATATTTGGATTGATTGGAAAAATAGTAAAACAGGATATTTATGGGGTAAAATAGCTGATGGAATAGCAGATGCAACTATAATCTTATGTTTACTATCGAATAAATATTATGAAAGTAAATCATGTCAACAAGAATTTGTTTATGCACATGATCATCTCAAAAAACCCATTATACCTATTTTTATTTTGAATGATAAACCACCTGGTTGGTTAGGTATGTGTTACACAAGAGTATAAAATTGAACTGAGCATATTCTATTATTTTAGCAATCCACACATGTATTATGAAATACGTTCGATTTCGTAATGTGAACCAATTGGAACAAGAGAAATTAAAAGACTTGGTTGAAATGATCGAAGAAAATCTATTTGGGACAAATCCTAAAATAGATCAAGGTTCTCAGCCACCTACTTCATTGCCTGTTCATCATGAAATATTACCAAATCAACAAACACTCTGTGACATGAAAGGGGATGAAAAAATCAATTCGTCGTATGTAGATTTCTTGTATTTCGTACTATAGTAAAATTATTTTTAGGACAGGAACGGATCTTTCTCGAAAAGCAGTTGAACAATGGGATAAAAATGATGTTAAACAATGGTTTCAAGAAAAGAATATTTCAATGGATATATGGAAATTATATCAGTTTGAAAATGGTGGTGAATTATTAAGTTATGCATCTAGTCTTTCCAATGATGAAAAAATTGAAACACAACAACAAATTTATTCTGATGAATTTGCTGAAATGAACAAAGGTAAACGTCTGTTACCACATCAATTTATAACATTTGCTTATGTTTTACGAAAACTAAATTGTGAACAAGTTGCAAATGGAACAAAACAGACTACTAATTTTCCTTCTAAACAACAATCCGTTGGATCAAACAAATCACAAACATGTGAAATATCATAACTTCTTTATTTGAGTTTTTATATAAGGATGATGGAAATCAAGAAAGTATAATGTTTTGATCACCAAATTTATTTTTAATTAAGCTAACAATAATAAATAAAAAGAAACACATTATTGAGGGCGTGGGTCAGGGTACGTAATATTATAATAGCTGATACCTACCCACACCTTCAAGATTATGAACTTCTTCGATGATTTTTGCTTTGTATTCTTCATCCCTCTTTGCGTCCAAGGTACTGATTAAACTTGCTTCTGACCAACTACACACAAATTCAATAAACTTTTTTCCAAATTCATCTAGAGTGATTTTGCCTTGTTTGAAATTAACACAAAACGACGGCATCTTGAGGGTGTGGGTGTGGTATTATATTCATCTCACACCCCACAACCATATTAGAGAAATTTTAATAAACATTTCACTTTAAATATCCTATCGATCGATGCAATTGATATAATTAAAATTTACCGTAAAAAGAGATCTTTTATTATTCGTGAACTTCTTGTTATGATATAGACGTAACTTGATGATATTATAGCGTGTGTGTGTGTGTGTACTAGACCGTAAGAATCAATGTTTTTCATCAAAAAGGTGTATCAAATGACATTTACCCTTTGAGAGTTGTGGTCATAAAGTGAATGTGCAATTAAATTTAGATGTTTTCGACACTATCAAACAAATCAAAAGAAAGACATTGGTAATCAGCATAAATTTCTTATTTTTGTTGTATTGCATGAATAGTAACAGAACATTACTTATTTCTTCTGATATGTTTCTCCATCACATGTGCATGTCGGACATTGTCACGTGAGGATAGTAATGAATTATTTTTGTCTAATGAAGGCAACATTCTTCGTTTCTCTACCTCTATATATATATATATATATATACATATCTTTACTCATAATTTCACAAACCAGTTCTCATTGTACTTCAGTTTTACTTCACTTCACATTATTACTATTAATATACCATCCTGTTGTTGTTCAACATGTTGCGATTGTGGTTGTTGTAGTCCACGATGTTGTGTACGTACTACCGTGTGCTGCTACAAACCAGTTTGTAAAGTTATCAGAAAGAAAACCGTCACCGTTAAAAAATCATGCACTAAAGTTTGCTGTTGCTAAATAGACATTTTTGTTCGTTTTCTATGAACTGATTCAATATCTAATGTATCAGTTTTAGAGTATTCTCTAATAACATTCATATTATTCTTTCTTTTTCTTATTTGCTCTATAGTTTTGTTTACTTCTTACACAGTTAGAAAGCAGCAGATGAATTAGATCATCTTCTTTGTTTTTCTTCACTTTGACAAGAAGTAAGAGAGGTGCATTTAGATCATTCTCTTTCTTCGCCTTATTTTCCTTGCTCATCTCTCTCTCTCATTTGTATGTGCCTGAAGAGGATGGGTATGAATAGCTAGTTTTTTAAAATAAAATCATTTAGTGAACAAGGAAAATATTTTTCTCCTCATTCGATCAATTCAGTTACAAAAGGGTCTTGTAATAATAAATAGAAAGCATTGTTTGTTTATTCTTTATAAATTGGACTTCTTGCAGAGTCGATGCAATCAAATGTTGCACGACATACGATTTCGACCAGGAGAAGGTTAAGAGGATGGATATGGTTGTAAGGTACTTGCCTTGCCATTATTCACACTCATATCCACCCATCTTTTTAAAAGTCTAAAAAGGAAACAAACATGGAATTGACTTTTATAAAAAAATCGTTTATGTTTATCATAAAGCACAGAAAACTATCAAACATCAAATATAGAAAGTTGATAAATTGCTTTTAGAGAATATTACGTATTGATAGATCAAAAGTTGTGGAGGATTGCTGTTCAACTTGATGATAGTATATTGCGGATGTAGGTGTAGTTGTAACATAAAAATAATATCCACATTCAATACCACACCCACATCCCTTAAATAAATACAAAATAAGAATTAATCATGAAAGACTTAATTATGTGAAAGAAAATCTTAGAGAACATTCTAAGTATATTAAAACTATTTTCTACGAAAGTTGTATCATTTCAGAAATATTAATAATCAAATTTTAATCGCTTTACAGTTAAAAAAAAGCTTAAAAATCATCAAAACGAACTATTAGAGTAATTGTAATCAAAATAAAAATATTTAAGAGTATATTCACGAATATTCGTAATCGCACTTCACAATCTTTATTTTTATCAATGATGGGAGTATAACATAAATATGACATCATTGATGACGTACATTATGACGCTTCTATTTCTATTCTCGATAAACCATAATTTGTATTATTATACAGGTATATTAGGGTGAGTGCAGGTTTCATATTTATCTCTCATCTTTATTCTCATAATCACATTCGCATCTGATGCAAATTCCGTATGGGAGATTAAAAAATAAATAATTAGAAAAAAGAGATACAAAAGAAGTAAAACATGGATTTTTAAACAGTTTTAATACCTAAATTATCAACTAGGAATATTATATGTTGTAACACCATGTCTCATTTCTACTTACTTGTATTTCATCATCATATTTGAATTAATATTATTGTATTCTGTGAATATTTGCATGACATTATGATGATGTAGCACAAAAATAACGACTCTCGTAATCAACTAGTTAAATAAAGTTTAGTTAATTGTTTAAAAAAGAAATATTTCGTAACTAAGAGTAAGATATTCTTTGTATCTCGTTGAAATCAGAAGAGAACAATTATTCATATTAAAAATATCTTTTCTTTTTCTTTCCTAAGTTTAAAAAAAATAATTCAAAAAAAAATCTTTTTTTCATAAAGGAGTTTCAGCAAATTAAATGCACAACAAATTTCTTACTTTACTTTGAACAAAAAAAATCTTTTTAGTAAGTACTGACTTTTGTATACCTTAGAAAAAACAATCCTGATTCTTTCGGATCATCATAGAAACTATCGAATGAAAATTTTTAGACAAAAAATATTCATATTGAAGAACAGCAGAAAAATTTAAAAAAAGAAAAATAAATAATCAGATATTCAAAGATTTTGTTTATTAAGAACTAGAAAACTATAGAGAAAATAGATCATTATTGTAATAAACTTTCATATATGTCGGCTGAATTATACTTCTCTGTACAATTTCTATGGAGACAACTGAATATTTTTTTCTTTTTATTATTTGAAAGAAAAATATAATTACGCAAATGAGATTTATTTTTGCAGCTAAACTATATATTTGTGATATTCTCACATAATAAGTCGATGTTTAATGTTTTTATAATCATGATTCTTTCATCTAAATTCTTGTCTAAGATCACTATCGTTAAACATCTCTTGATTTTAAATAAAAATAATCTAAATATTGTATTTATTCTTGCTTTTTCTTTTTAATTTTCCAAGTCGACAAACCGAGAACGATGAGAGAAGAAAATAGAATCATTATTAACATGATGCTATAAAGTCGAACAACAGAATATTTTTTTTTTCAAAAATACGAAAAAACTATAGTTTTATCACTGTACGTATTACTTTTAAGTTTTACAATTAGCTAAATATAAAAGAAAATATTAATTAAAATTTATTTCTTGAATTATCATAGAAAATATGAATTGTACTTGATATTTTAAGTAAAAAAATTAAAAACCGATGATTTTCTCTTACATGAATAGAATTATATCATAAGAGATACCATATTTTATTTAGAAATGTAGTAAAGAATAGTTTTCTAATTGTACAAAATTGTTTTAAAATATGAAAGTTATTTATAGAAAATGCACAAAGAAAAAATTTTCCTTATTACGCTATTAAAAAAATAAGTAAAGCGTCAAGACGTTTACTCTAAAATCATTTCTTCATGTTTGTTGAATGCACTTTGAATATTCTTTTCCTTCTTCTGATGATTAAGAGAAAAAAAATACAAAAAGATTACACTTTTAATTAAAAAAACTAGTTTGAATATATTCTCAATTAAGAAATTGCAACGATGCAGATTCTACAAAAGTAAAGTTTAATTATTTCAATTGGAGAAAAATATATTTAAGAATATGTTGAAAAGATGGATTTTCTTGTATTGATACGTATGAGTTAAATACAAATATTTGTTCATATTCTCTTTCTCATAGAGAAGAGTGGAGCAAAAATAAACTGTCTGCTTGCGGATTTACTTTTCACTGGTAGGTCGAAAAATATCAATCATGCATGTATGTTCTATTGAATTATGTAATGACTAATTCAATAGTAAGTATTAATTAAATTAATAATTTTTGATTTTCTTTCTAGATTATTTGCATCGATTAAACGAACAGCAAGTAATTCCTTTTTTAAAGCAAGTTTCATTTTTTATGTTTACGTTATTTATAATAATAAATCGATCAGTAAATATTTATAGATTTAAGTAAATTTTGTTTTTTTTATTTACTTTCTTCTTAGATTATTGCCAAAGGTAAATCCAACAGCAAGCATTAATTAAAATAAATGGGCTTTTCCGCCTTATCGGAGGATCCGATTCTATTTTGTTCTTATTCAATATTTATAATATATAAAAAAGAATTATTCTCCGAATTATAGTACTCGTATAATGCTATTGATCGGTCAAGCAGCCTTATACGAATAGTATATTTCCTAAAAAAATATATTTTCTTGGTATCTCATAGAGGTTGTATCAAATTAAAAAGAATTAGGACCTTCGGTTAGTCTAGATATCACAAATATTAGTTTTTATATTATTTGAAGAGTGATAAGAAGCGAGGAGGTATAAGAGGTCTATGGAAATACGATGACAAGTTTCAATCCTTTGAAATATGCAGACCATTTTCTATTTGTATTATCTAGCGTATAAATGTAATCCTTAAATTTGTGCTCGACTAACTGATCATATAATCATTTTTAGGTATACGAAACTACTCGGTGTCATACACTAGACGTCCTAATATAGTTTTGTATGCTACTTATCATTTAAAGAGACGACAATAAATAAAATTTTAAGAAAAATTCTATCTTGTTTTCGTGAACTTAAGAAGCAAGGCAACATTAACTTCAACGTAGCTTGGTAGTCAGACATTTTTATTTTATACTTATTTGCATTGCATAATATCATATTTCAGAGGTATATAAAAGCGCTGAAAAAACGTTTTCATAAAAATATTAGAAGACGAAGTATACATGAGTAAGGCTATGTTAGGTGAAGAACACTTTGCGAAACAAAACTAACCGAATGTTGTGAAGATGTCTGATTTTATCCGTTTACAGTCATATAATGAACTGTTCTGTACAACCTAATTTTTCATTCAATACCATAATCCATTAATATAAAATTGAATTATATTTTAGATATTCAACATGATATTGTTTGGTTTTCGCAATATTTGGTTGTTTCTATTGGTTTTTAGGCAAACATCAGGTAAGAATTCGATAAAATTATTTACTACGTTCTTCAGAAGAACCTTCGACTTATTTTCTAACGGAGAAATGATCATATATGTCAATTAGCGTTTTTCTTGTACATGATATACATATTCCCAGACTTTTCTCTCGAGTTTCAATCGAAAGAATCCGGCTGATAGGATGACTAAGATATCTGTCGACAAGAATTCGACAAACGTCACACAAAATCCAACAGTTAGATTCCAAACATAAGATTCTGAGTTTATGATGATTATTACTATCCGAATTCTATTTCACAGTTCTATGCTTTTTCACAGGTATTTCATATAATCGACCAAAACTTTGTGCAAATGCAACATGGAACCGGACGGCTATAACTTTTGCCACGAGCATTACGGTTGGTACATATCCGCATGGAATTTTTATTGATACAAATAATACGGTTTATGTAGCTGATGGTGCAAACAGTAGGGTTCAAATTTGGTTAAACAATAGTATAACAGTTACAAGTACTATTTCTGGTGGTTTAGACACACCCAATAGTCTTTTCATCACAGATAATAGTGATATTTATGTTGATAATGGTTATACAAATTATCGGGTTGATAAATGGAGCTTTAATTCAACAAATAGTGTTCCAACGATGTATATGTGTGGAGCATGTTATGGTCTCTTTATTGATATTAATGATATGCTTTACTGCTCGATGTATAATTATCATCAAGTTGTTTCGAAGTCATTGGATACACGTTTAAATATATGGAATATTGTTGGTGGTACAGGTACAGCTGGATCAACGTCAGTTACACTTCATAATCCTTGGGGAATCTTTGTTGATAGTAATTTAAACTTGTATGTGGCTGATTATTCAAATGATCGAATTCAAAAATTTTCATCAGGACAATTAAATGGAACAAAAATAGCAACGGGACCTATCGTATTGAATACGCCTACTTCAGTTATACTTGATGCTGATGGATATCTTTTTATTGTTGACAATGGTAATAGTCGTATTGTTGGTTCAGGATCTTATGGATTTCGATGCATAGCGGCATGTTCCGGAGATGGTTCATTATCCAGTCAATTATATTATCCAGTAACTTTAAGTTTTGACAGTTATGGAAATATATTTGTCACCGATTCATGGAATAACAGAGTACAAAAATTTCTTTTGTTATCAAACTCATGTAGTAAGTTAAAACTAATTCTCTCATATGTGAAACGATGCATTATTAGGAATATGTGATTATAGTTGGGAGCGTCAGTTTCGTGTCTTAAAAAAATATAATAACCTTTTATAAAATGGAAGAAAAGATATATCTAAACATCAACATGTTCAAAAAGGCACAAAACATAATTTTCCAGATATGTTTATATTCTTTTGCAAGGGAACACTAAGAAATCGAAATATGACATCTTTAATTCTAGTCTAAACTCTAAATATTTACCACAAATTTATTTTATAATATAAAATCGTATTTTTATTTATAGATGAGACGACAACAGTAACAACTATGGCCACGGGTACTTTGAAATAATTTCTTATTGACTTATTTGTTTACTAATAGTTTATATCTGTTTTTAATAGTAACTTCAATGAATAATACTCCATTAGTTTCTTTAACAACAGCTGTTCCTGAAATAAGTTCTACAACTGCATCATATTCAAACCGTATGTAATCATTTAACAAAATAGGAATTTTGTTTTGAATAGTTCGATTATTCATGAAATACTTTCAAAAGAGTAATATAAAATAAATAAATTCAGTCTTTGATTATATCTTTATAGAGGAAAAAAGGGTTTTAATTCGAGTTTTACTTTCAAAAAGCTGAGGGTGTGGATGTAGATGTGTGATGGGTGGGTGTATCTTTGATAAATACGAAATTAATGAATATTTGTATTTGTAGCTATTTCATACAATATGCCAGAATTCACTGCGTATACTACTTGGAGCTCCAATGGAATAACTTTTGCAAGCACCACCGTGATCGGAACAAGTCCTTACAGTGTATTTGTTGATAATAACAATACTGTATATGTAAGTGAGTATTCTTTAGATCGTGTTCAAGCGTGGCGTGAAGGTAGTAGCAAACCCACAAGAAATATCTCCGGTACTATAAACAATCCATATAGTGTCTTCGCTACAAGTAATGGTGATGTATATGTTGACAATGGTTATACAAATAGTCGAGTGGATAAATGGACAGTAAATGCAACGACTAGTGTTTCTGTATTGAATGTGAAAGCCGCATGTTGGGGTCTTTTTGTTGATATTAATAATAATATTTACTGTTCAATGTATAACCTTCATGAAGTTGTCACAAACTCATTGATCAATCCTTCAAACATGTGGATAATTGCCGCTGGTACAGGTTGTGCTGGATCAACGTCAAATACGCTTTATAATCCTCGTGGAATCTTTGTTGATACAGATCTCAATTTGTACGTTGCTGATTATACCAATGATAGAGTGCAAAAATTCTTATCAAAACAAGTAAATGGAATAACGATAGCAGGAACTGAAGCAACAGGAACTATTAGTCTGAATGGTCCGACTGGAGTTGTTCTGGACGCCGATGGCTATGTATTCATTGCGGATTATTTGAATAATCGTATTGTTGGATCAGGACCAAACGGATTTCGTTCTTTAGTAGGATGTTCAAGTGTTGCCGGTTCAGCATCTAATCAATTACATTATCCAACAAGTTTAAGTTTCGATAGTTATGGTAATATGTTTGTTGTTGATAACTACAACAATCGGATTCAAAAATTTTATATAACAAGCAATATTTATAGTAAGTAAAATAGAATCCATTTTTATAAAATTTAACAATTACGATAAAATCTAATGGAAAAGATTTATTGAAATTAAGCAATTTTAGCTTCTTTTTTTTGTGTAAGACACGAAAGCGAAATTGATTCTGAGTATATCAAACTATCCAACACTCTTAAAATCTTTATAAGATCGACCATACGATTAATATTTTTTATTACAAAATATCTCATTTGATGAAAATGTTGAAACAATAACACGAATGATTTTTAATTTGTTTTTATTTTTAGATGGAATTATCAATCAACCAAGCTTCTGTCCATCTACAACATGGTATACAGATGCAATTACATTTGCCAATAGTAGTACGGCTGGAACTCACGTATATGGTATTTTTGTTAGTATTAATAATACTATCTATGTAGCTAATCAACAAACTAATAAGATTCTAGTGTGGTTCGAAGGAAGTAACAATCCAGATAAAATTCTTTCTGGTAGTCTGAGTTCACCATATGATCTTTTCGTTACTCCTCTAGGTGATATATATGTTGATAATGGTTTAAATAATGATCGAGTTGATAAATTTTCATTCAATTCAAATATAAGTACTTCTGTCATGTCAGTTCCTAATTTGTGTGCTGGTATTTTTGTTGATATTAGTAATACTCTTTATTGTTCAGCATATAGTTCTCATCAAGTTCTTAAGCAATGGTTAAATGATAGTGTACTTACGTCAACTATTATTGCTGGTACAGGTACAGCTGGATCAACAGCGACTACGCTTAATTATCCTCTTGGAATTTTTGTCGATGCTCAAGTTAATTTATATGTTGCAGATTGTCATAATGATAGAATACAAATGTTTCCTGTTGGACAATTAACTGGAATAACTTTAGCAGGAGCTAGTGTACCAGGAACTATTACACTTAATAATCCAAATGGCATTATATTAGATGATAATGGATACCTTTTTATTACGGATACTCTTAATAATCGAATAATTGGATCAGGACCATATGGTTTTCGATGTTTATTTGGATGTACAACAATATCTGGTTCTGCATCAAGTCAGTTGAATCAACCAGTAATTTTAAGATTTGATGGTTATGGAAATATATTTGTCGCTGATAGATATAATAATAGAGTGCAAAAGTTTATATTAGCATCAAATTCATGCAGTAAGTTACTTTTGAATTTATGTTTTCAATGACCTCAATTTATTTATTTTAGGTCTGTTTTATAGTCAACCAACATTTTGTTTTAATGCTTCATGGTCTGTAAATGCCGTAACTTTTGCATCAAGTAGTACAATTGGTTTATTACCTTATGGTATTTTTATTAGTGGAATTAATACTGTGTATGTACCTAATCGAGTTAGTAACACTATTCTATCATGGCCTCAAGGAAGTACTACATCAACAAGTAATAGTTATAGTAATTTAAGTAATCCATATAGTCTTTTTATGTCTATGACTGGTGATATGTATATTGATAATGGTTATTCATATGGTCGAGTCGATAAATATACATTTAATACATCAAACCGTGTAACTGTTATGAGTGTTAATGGAAGTTGTTTTGGTTTATTTATTGATATTAATAATAATCTTTATTGTTCTCTTAAAAATCTTCATCAAGTTGTTAAACTCTTACTTAATAATGGTACAACCATTCCGACAATTGCAGCTGGAAATGGTTCTGCTGGATCACTATCAAATATGCTTAATTCTCCTCAAGGAATCTATGTTGATAGTAATCTAAACCTATATATTGCAGACAGTGCTAACAATCGTATTCAATTCATTCAAACTGGTCAGTTAGATGGAGTGACAATCGTTGGGAATGGTTCATCAGCAAATATTACACTCAACTATCCAACTGGAATTGTCCTTGATGCTAATGGTTATCTTTTTATTGTCGATAGTTATAATCATCGTATTGTTGCTTCAAGTTATTATGGTTTTCGATGTATAGTGGGATGTTTGGGAGGTGGTTCATCTGCGTCTCAATTATCATTTCCACAAAGTATGGCTTTTGATAGCTATGGAAATATATATGTTACTGATCGAAATAATAGTCGAGTACAACAATTCACTCTTCAAACTAACAATTGCAGTAAGTTATTTGTATATACCGGAACATCATGAAGTTGTAGTTGATAATTACTTTCTTTGAGACTATCATTTGAAAAATTGACAAAAATCAAATGAAATGTTGTTTGAATTATTTGATCTCATATGAATATTTTTAGTATAACTTCCCTCTAATTTAACTGAATAAAGTACTATTGTTTTATATTTCAGCAATACCGACTACCACCACCACTACTACTACGAGCAGCAGCAGCAGTACCACAACTAGCACTACTACTACTACTACCACTAAGACTACAAGCAGTAGCAGTACTACAAGTACCACTATCACCACAACCAGTACCACAAGCAGGAGTACTACAAGCAGTAGCAGTACTACGAGTACCACTACCACCACCACCAGCACCACAAGTAGCACTACTACTACTACCACCAGTACTACAAGTAGTACTACTACTACCACCAGTAGTACTACTACGAGCAGCAGTAGCACCTCAAGCAGCACTACTACCACGACCACCACTAGCAGTACTACTACTACCACTACCACCACAAGTACTACAACAAGTAGCAGCAGCACCACAAGTAGTAGTACTACTACTACCAGCAGTACCTCAAGTAGCACTACAACCACCAGCAGCAGTACTACAACGAGCAGCAGCAGTACCACGAGTAGTACTACCACTACTACTAGCAGTACTTCAAGTAGCACTACTACCGCGACTACCACTAGCAGTACTACTACTACCACCACTAGTACTACTACAAGCAGTAGTAGTACCACAAGTAGCACTACTACTACCACCACCACTACAAGTACTACAACAAGTAGCAGCAGTACCACAAGTAGTACTACTACTACTACCACTACTAGTACCAGTACTTCAAGTAGCACCACTAGCAGTACTACTACGAGCAGTAGCAGCACCACAAGTAGCAGTACAACGAGTAGTACCAGTACTTCAAGTAGTACTACCACGAGTAGCAGTAGTACTTCGAGTAGCACTACTACCACTAGTAGTACCTCAAGTAGCACGACTTCCATCATAACTTCTCAAGGATTAGCTATCAATGAAAGTAATAATATGAATAATATAAAAAATAGTTTATCAACCTTTTCTTTTTTAAACTAGCTTGTTATTCACCGACGATTACATTGATTCCTGGACAATCATCTCTATTATCTCCAATGTCGTATCGACGTAGTCAAGATTTTTCTATTAGTTCAATGATTCAATTTAATTGTGATGGTTCACTTTCGACAACTACGAAATGGACAATAAAGAATTGCACTTCAAATAGCTGTTCATTTGAGATTCTATTAAATGAAAAAGTTATGACAACATTTAGTGAACTTTATATTCCATCAAGAACTCTTGATTATGGTGTTTATCAACTAACATTAAATGTAATAATGATTGATTCACCGAATTTAAAATCATCATCTTCAGTTTATGTGAGAATAACTGCAACAGGTATAACAGCAAATCTTGTTCAACTAGGAACATCTATGATAACACGAGGTGATCAACAAGATCTTTTACTTGATCCTGGAACATTTTCGATTGATCCCGACGAAGATACATTTGATGCAACTGTAAGTAATATATATGTAAGTGAATATTTAAATAATTTTATTTTTATTTTCAATCATAGAAATGGAAATATACATATTATTGTCGAATTTATGATTTATATAATTTCCCAAATCTACAAGGCATATTATTATCAATTGATGATTCAAGAATCGATCCTTATAATCCATCATGTTTGTCCAATCGGTCAGGTAATATTAATTGTTGATAGTTTTATATGTCGAAATAAAAAAACTCATAATTAAATAGGATTAATATTCGGAAATTTAACTTTATCACCTAAATCATCTCTAACAGTTCTCGGTGGTTCACTTCAATTAAACCAAATGTATCAATTTATGGTCTATATGGAAAATCGTAAGAATTCTTCTATTCAAGCAACTGGTTATGTTCTTGTTACAATTGAAGTTACTCATCCACAATTGATTGCTGTTGGGTAAATTCTTCATGACTTTTTAATTGAATTGTCCTAATGGCAAAATATTTGTTTTAGTTGTGTAATATCAACAATGTGTGTTCCAAATCTTGAATTTCAACTTCTTAATCCAACAACACAAGTTGCTCTATTTACTATTTGTATTGGAACTTGTACAAATCTTCAAAGTATTAAATGGAACATTTATCAAGGATCAGACAATTCAACATCTTCAAACTATACACAATGGGTTTTATTTAATAATACGATTCTATATGAAAATATTTGGTTTTTTGGTAAAAAACTTGTTTTTTTAATAATCATATATATTTATTGATTATGTTAGGTACAAATACAAGTAATTTCACAGCAATAGATCAATTATTTCTTAATAATCTTCAGATAAGTCTTTGGCGTTTTGAAGTTGTTTATACATTTCTATCCGCAATAAGTACGAGTGCATTGAATTTTATTATTAATCAACCGCCTGTAAATGGTTCGTGTTCAATCAATCCTCTTAATGGTACTATAACTACTTTATTCACTATTGAGTGTCCAAACTGGTATGATGTAGATGGAATACAAGATTATTCATTATATGGTATGTTTAGTTTTCACTACCAACTGACGGTTGTACTTTTTGTCATTTTAGCATGGACAACTGACATATCACAACGAACAATGATTGCATTTTCACCAGAATATAATTTTCAAGTTCGATTACCAGCTGGTGATAATGAAACTTTATTACTCAATCTTGTTGTTTACGTTCGAGACCTTGCGGATTCTGTTACCCAAGTGAATATATCTTCTGTCAGTGTTATGAAAGATTTTGAAATAATTAATGATTTAATTGATAAAATAATAAATTCATCGAGTACAATAACAAATAATCCACTTGTTCGATTACTTTCAAGTGAAAATCAAAATGTTGTTGGACAAATGATCATTTCATTATCACAAGAATTCAATCAGATGAGTAATAAAAATTTAGATAAAGCTATATCAAGTAAATATTGATATCCAGTTTATTAGTGATAATTAAGATAAATTTTGTTTTAGACGGAATACCAGCTGTAAACATTTCAGTATCATCATTAGGAAGTCAACGTTTACAACAAGTAATTAAACTTAATAGATTTTATTTTGTTTCTATTTCTATTTAAAATAGATTTCAATACCATTGAATGAATCAGCTTTGATTGACTATAATACAGAATTAAATTCTCTAGCAAATGTTAGAGATTATCTAGCACCATTTCTAATTAATCTTCTCATAACAACATCAAATAGTATTATATTACAATCATCATCATTAGCTCGATTAACTCAAGCAACAAATCAATTAACACGAAATACTTTAGTAAAATTATAAAAAATATTTTTGTTGAAGATTTTTAAATAATTCTAGATGCTTGTATGCAATCGATGTTATGAATTATCTGCTGCTTTATATTCAATGTTTGAAAGAATATCATATGAAGATGCTCAATCAGCATCAAATCAACTTTTTCAATGTGCTTCAAATATTCTAAATGTAAAATAAATGAAATCAATATTCCCACTTCTGTATCAAACTCTTGA